AGTATTTCGTACTGACATGCATGAAATTTTTTCTAAGTTCTTGCAGTAGTAATTAACGTTAATAAAAATTATTGTTTCCAATTCTTACGTGCTTTACTTATTGTGTAAAAAATATTATCACTTATATATGTGAAAAAAATGCTAAAGTAATTACGTTTAACTTATTCTTATAAATTGACAATTTTTTGTGAAAAAAAATCGTGTTAAATTTGAAAAAATATTTTCAAATTTAATTTCTTTATTCTCGTTATTAGTTAGTCCTTAAAACGAGTACACAATACTCAGTTAGTTAGTCAGTCAAAAGTGCTAAAGTAATTACGTTTAACTTATTTCTATAAACTGACAAATTTTTGTAAAAGAAAATAGTGTTAAAAGGATTTAACTGCAACGTACTAAATTACTTCTGAATATTTTTATTATTATCAATAACAAAAGTTTTACAAAAAAAAACAAAAACAAAATTTTTAAGACTATTCTTGATAATTAGTTGAATTTATTTAGCTGTATTTTCATATATTTGCTTGTAATGAATGAATAATAGTTATATTAAAATTTTCCTTAATTCCTTGGGCATCTTCTTGATTTCACTTGTATTTTATATTGTATTCTAGACTATTTTTTTATCTCTATTTTCATTCCTTTTGAAAATTTTCCACATTTGTTTTGTAAGTTCTTTTAAAACTTTGATTCTAATCTAAATGTTTTTTTAAATGACCTTTTTATGTTTAAAATAAATATGCTTTGCACTTTCAAATTCAAGCACTTGGTGAACAGACAAATTTAATGTTTGAAAAAATTATAAAACGATATTTTAAATTATATTTGAAAAATGAAAGATACAAAAGTAAAACCTCAAAGTAATATAATGTTCAAATTTTTTTGGCTTTCAATGCAAATCTATCGAACTGATTTATTGAAGTCTTAAATATTATACTTTATATTTTAATGTGTTTCTGTTTTTTCTTTTTTCGACTTTTTTGATGTAGAATTTGATTAGAAGCACAACAATAACTTTTTACGGTTTAATAAAATATAACCAAATGCAATCAAGCTTTATGCTGAGTAAATAAATATTCAATGCACTATTGAGCTTAGGTTTAGATTTTAATCTCTTGATCAATTTTAAGTTTAACTTTTTCACAAGGTAATTCCAAATCAAAATTAATGAAAGTCATAATATTAAAACTAATAATGAAAATTTTTTGTTTTTATTCATTAATAATTTCAGCTATTAAAAACGGTGATGATTTTTGTTTTAGCAAAAATAAAAAAAAAATTGCTTGACTTTTAATTCAATAATTTTAATAATTCTTTAAAATTAACTCTTGAAATATTAATTATTTTTTTGTAGAAAAACATGATCAATTATATGGTTTTAATCAATCTGCTATAAATAATTAACGAGAAATATTTACTTTTGATGTGTAACTTAAATCAAACAACATAAGAAATTCTTTCCTGATCGTCAGCATCACATAATCATAATAGAAAATGATTTTAAGCCAATATATTGTAAATTAAGTTATGATTCTGATTATCTTTTATAATCGCGCATTTAAATAAAAAATATTATTAGCTAAAGAAGAAGAAAAAAATTGTGATTGGACTTGCAAGAAGGAAGATTGAAATTGAGCACTACAATACAACATAAGTATACTTTAAATATTCATCAAATTGGTTGTTAATTCTCATGTGAATAAAATTTCAATTTTACACTTACAGAATAAATTATTCATAAATTATTTGCTGAATAGCCAAAATTTTGCTATTGCTATTTCTTATTTGATTTTTTTTTTCCAACAATATTGCTAATAAAATAGATGATGATGAGGATAAATTTTTAGCCACATTTTGGCACAAATGATTTACAGCCTATTTGTCTCCTTCTTTGAGTTATTTTATTATTTTAAACTTTGACTTGATGAAAGGATATTTTTTCATTTTTTCTATGCTTTTAAAAATAAAACGATTGATAAAGTAATGGAAAATACAAAAAACTACGAAAAACACATTTTTAATTTTTCGATAATAAAATAAATTATTTTCTAAATATGAAAATTAAGCATAGAAGTAAACAGAAGAGTAAATTTAACAGATTAATAAATAAACCAAAAAATAAGCTAAAAAATCATCATATTTATGAAATTTAGTTTATTAAAATTAATAAAATCTTAGTGGAAAGTAATATGCATCATTTGAAAATTCCGCATTTTTGTTTCTTCTAATTTTATTACAAATAAATAAAATTCAAACAAAAAATTTCATTGCGTGAAATTTTGTGTTTGATTTTGAGCATAAATGCTTGATTTATTTCTATTTGTTTGCATTATTTTTAAAATTGAACAAACGTGTGGTTTTCATAAAAATGCATAAAATAAAACAATTTAAAATGCAAAATTTTCTGCTACATTTTAGTTTATGTATTTAAATTTCTATTTGATTACAAAAATATTAATAAAAATTTTATGCAATATTATTCATTGATGAATATAATCCTGAAAATATATGCATAAAATATTTATAAGTTAAGAAGAAAATAATTTTATGAAGCAACAAATTATAATCTTGTTGCATACTTAATAACCTTAACAAATAATTATTCATGCTTTTTTCTTTCTAAACTTTTTAGGCCCTTGTTATTTATTTAGTATGTTTTTTGCTAAGAAATATTTTCGTTTTTTTTTTACTCAAAAAAAAAAATGCTAATTTGCATATTTTAAACTTGCTTTGAAAATTATCGCAGTACTTTGATAAGTAATGATATTAAGACTATTAATTGTACTGATATTGCGAATTATTCATTTTCATGTTTAAGGCTTAAAAATGCTTTACAAAAATTGGAGAAAATAATTTCAGCAGAACAAATGGTTACTTACTTCTCGATCTACATCGATGGCATTTTGAAAATTTATGCATAGCTGACAATGAAGAATAGTAATCATGCATTGGATACGAATTTTAAAATATCTAACAAAATTACTGCTAAATTAAGTAAATTCCAAATGAAATATTTCTAGCGATATTTGGATGGAAAATGTATAATAACTGTTATTATATTTTGTCTTCTGAATTTAAACTTTATAGCATTGAATGAGAGATACTGTTGATCTGATGTCATAATACTCAATTTACTGCTGTAGAAAAATTTTTTATTCTTGCTTTTGTATTAACTATTAAATATTTTGGAAGTAAATTCAAATTTTTGAATTTGCTGTTATTTAAATATCCATGATCAAATATTATCTCTTCGAAAGCAATAAACATAACTATTATTGCTCGAATTACACCGAATGCATTAATGATTTTTTGGCAAGTTTTTTTTTTTTTGCACAATTATTTTCATTAGTTAATAATTGCTTTTTTTTTTTTTGTTATTCCAAATATATCATGATAATAAGTCTTTAAATTATGGCAAATCTAGCATAATTTCAGCTTTAAACTAACTTTGATTTTTCTAAAAGCAGAGGTTAATAAATATTTTATATATTATATAATACCCATTTTTAAGCCCTTATATTTTCACATTTTAAAATTTTTACATATTACATATAGAGAAAACTGGGTAAATTTGTATGCTACATGACTGCATATTACATATTACACAACGTTATAAGCACTTATTTTTTGCTTCGATTAGTTTCACTATACTTTTAAATATGCAAAAAGTTTATTTTTAATTTAAGTACTAAAATTTGATAACTCTGCAGATGTATTCTACAATCATTGTGTTGAAAATTACTGTTTTTAAAATAATATATCGTTTCATTTTTATTTCTTTGAAAAGAATTTTGTTACTTTCAATTGCTTGATTTTGTAGCAATTAAAATTATTATTAATAAATAAAGGATTCTAAGATGTTGAGCTCGAGTCAAAAATTTCCATCGAAAGTATACTAACGTTAACTTGTCATATTTTTTAATTAAGCCATCATTTAACTAGCTTGTAAAAATTTTGTTAGTTTCAATTTGTTTCTCACTACATTCATTTCATATTTACATTTATCTTTCTTCTTAACTTAACTATTTACTGTAATTAAATTTCAGTTTATATTTATAGCAATAAATTAAAATTTATAATAAAAGATATACTATTATAGGTCAAATACAAGCACTGCCATATTTTGCAAATATTGCATTCCAGAATTACATTGAATACATTGAACATTACAAATTTACATATATATATAGAGGGAGAGAGAGTACTAAAGTTAATATGTTTTTGTTTGTTGGGCAAACAAACTTGAGATTCGAACTGATTTTTTCTTGTTATTTTAAAGAATCACTCTAATAACATTTTTTTAACATTAATCATGACAAAAAGTATTCATTAATTATTAATCATGAAATAATTAATTATTAAATTTAAACACTTAAAAATTTTATTTTATCCATTCAACATTTTGTCAAAGATGAAACACAACAAGACAAATTATAATGAGTATTACTGACCAAATGCTAAAGATTTAAAATGAATTAGTATATTTCTACTTATTTTTAAACGCACAGACAACTGTTGTTGCAAGTGTATTGAACTTGTGATTTTGCATTCTTTTACTTTACGATTGGCTAATGAATGAATTGATAATATTTGTAAAAAGTATTTTCAGTTTTTTCCATTTATAAATATAGTATTTTTGTAGCGCTTATCCAATATCTTGTAATTTTCAACTACCTATTATGATTAATACTTGTATTTGTATCATTTTTCATTTTTAACAACGTATAAACTTCAGTGATATAGTAAAATTATTACTTGAGGAATTATAAAAAGTCAAAATTTATTTCTAAATTTTGAACGAAATAATAGATGAATTTGCAGTACTAATCAAACAATCACTAATTAAGAATTGACCAAAAAAATGTAAAATGTAGCATCAATCCATCTTTTTTTTTTTGCAAGTAATGTATTTTAAAAAGTGATATTATTCAAAAATCTCAAGTTTAATATTTTATTTTGGATGCGAATTTTGATATTTTTTAGAAGGTGGTTCAAATTTTCTAATGGGTATTAGAATCGTAGAAAATCAGACATCAATGGGTCAACGGATCGCCAAGCATCACATGCAATCAGGCGTGAAACTTTATCATCAACGGCGTCATCAACAGGCCATTACGCGTTGGCGGGCTGCTCTTCGACGTCTTACGTAATGCAATTTTTCTAGTTTATTTTTAATAATACTATTAATTGCATAGAAAATAAATAGACAATTTGATAGACTACAGTAATAATGTCTATAGAAGATTTGGAACTTTATTGCTTCACAAATTAAAAAATAATGCTTTCATCTCGTCTCTTTTGAGCATATGCATTAATAAATTAATCTCATTAACTATATTTTAAATAAACTGAAGGATTTAATTCCTGTTATATGCAATAACTTTTTTTTGCTCAATTAGTTTGGATTTAAAATTTCAATCTGAGCAAGTTTATTTTCAGTGTTATAGTTTATATATAAGTACGCTAATGCAATTATTATTTGATTTTAAAAAAAGTAAAGTAATGTAAATAAATGTACGTAAGACATGAAATTTTAAATTTTAGAAATGTCGAAGATCGTTTTATAACACTTGGATATATGGCCCAAGCTTATTGTGATGCTGGAGATTACCAACAGATGTTACAGTATGCTTTGCAACAGATGGAATTAGCCAATTTACAACAAGATGAATATATGAAAAGTGAAGCATTCCTAAACTTGGCTAAAGCTTATGAACGCTTGGCTGATTTCAGCAAAGCCATAGGCTATGGACGTGCAAGTCTTCAACATCAAAGTATGGATCCAAGAACTCCTGGCCATGCACATCTCGGTTTTATTTAATCTTAATTCAAAAATAATAATTCAGTGCCATCTATAATAACAAAACAATATTTAAAACAAAACATGCATTGTCGTACCTTAATTTAAGATATCACAAAAAAAAACAATATTTTTTTTAGACTGAATACAAAGTCTACAATACAAATATGATACATTAATTCAAAAAAATCCTAGAAGTTACTGATTTCTCAAATTTTCGATTCGAACCTCATTAATCAGTCTTTAATACTTTCAAAATTCAAAATACTAAATTTTTGTTGCCATTTAATTTTCTTAGATGAAAAAATTGTACAAACTTTGATCTTATCTTGTATTTTTCTTTTTTTTTTTAAGTGGTGGCATTGTCACAACTTGGATTCAGTCAATTTCAAGCTAGTCTAGAAGCGTTCGAAAAAGCTATGTCTATCGCAAACCAGTCCTCGGATAAGTTATTAGAACTTCAAATCTGTGTTGGACTTGGTGCTCTTTTTACATTACTTAGGTTTCTTTTGTAGATTTTTACTTTTATCGTATATTTTAGCATATTTTATATAATTTATATTGTAACTAAACTTACAAATAAACATACATAATATTAATTGTACTGATGATTGTTTAATCAAGTTTTGTTTTGTCTTTGTTTCTGTAGCATTCACAAACGTAAAAGTTGTGCTAAAGATAATAATTTCATCGAATCAATGAACTCAGTAATATTTGTTTTTATAATTATTACAAATATTTTTCATAATAATTACCTCTTTGCTTTTAAATATGTTAAGATAAAACAACAAGCAATGATTGATATTATGGATATATTAGGGATTTATCGAAGGCGATGATATTTCTACAAAATGCAGAAGCAATACTGCAAGACATAACCGTTGATGATGTGCACATAAAATATCGCAGTATAGTGCTTTATCACTTATCAGTAGTACTACGGATAAAAGGATCACTGATGGATGCAAAAACAACATGCGATTTATGCTTTTAATATTTTAAAAAAATTTTAAATTTTCATAAGTATACAAAATATTACAGTACTTTTAACAATTACAAAATCAGTTTGATAATTAATTCTTCCTTTTTTTATGTTCAATAAGCTGAAAGCCTTTATGTTTGACTTTTTTGAATTTTTTAAATTATCTATTATATTTAATTACTTATTTTTGCTTTAGCAGTACAATATTTTTATTTTTTAGTGTTTAGTTGTGAATATTTAAACAAGAACAAAGAATGACTGCAGAAAAAATTTCAAATATTATAAAGATAAATAAATATTTTCTCTTTAAGATAACAGGCTTTATAACCAACAATTTTACAGTTATCAAATTTTACTTTAATATTATCATTAATACTTAAGTAAGCATTATTACTATTATTATTATTATTATTATTATTTTAGAAATCAATGCATTTAGCTCAAGAAACAGGTAACCGATCAGTTTATGCTCGCTGCTTATGCTCACTTGCTGATATATGTCGGGAATTAGGCGAGACAGAAGCTAAAGAAACTCTCATAGTCAGTTTTTTCTTTGCTTGAAAAAGTTCGTTCGTTATATTACACATATATTTTAATAAATTTATGTTTGATATGCTAAAAAAGTAATTAAACGTAGACAAATATATATGTGAAACATTCAAAATTAATTAAGCAAATATTTAAAACAAATAATTAGTCTTAATTTTTAAATATGAAATATTTTTGTTGATTATAATTTATTATGCAATCACATAAATGGACATTTTCTTCAAAGTTATTCTGCAAGTCTACGTTACTTCATTGAATATTTTTACAAGATATTCAATGAAGTTATTTTAATTTTATATGATATAATAGGAATTTAAGAGGACAGATAATAAAAAAAGATGAAAAATATTATTTAGAAAAGTTGGTCTCGCTACGAAGAAGCATATCGAATAATGCGTCAGACGAACGATCGAATGGGTGAGATATTAGTTCTCGGTAGTATGGCTAAATCCGCATCTCAGTGTCGTAGCTTTTATACTGGTCAATGTGAATGTCAAGTAAAATTTGTTAATTTTTTTTAGAAAAATAATATTCAAAGATAAATAATATATGCTTGTATTTAAAATAATAAATAGTTTAACTGTGAATTTGTGCGCAATTTTCTCAGAGATTTTATACTTTTTTGTTCTTAAATATTTGAATAAATAAATAATTGAACCTTCTATCTACTGTTGTATATAATTCAAGTTTTTCAGGCAATTCAGCTTAGTAAAAAGTGTTTAGAAGTTGCAAAAGCTGTTGGATGTAAAGTAAGATCATAGTTTTGAAAAATAAATTAATAATATTTTTTTTAATAATTATTGTTATGAAATGAAAATAAACATTTCATAGAATGTGTTAGAATATGCAGAAAAGTGTTTCAAATCTTCTTAAATTTTCTGAGATAAATATTCAATAAAAACTACATTTAATCTGTATATTATTCAATTAGTTAAATATTATTTATTGCTATTTATTTATTTTTCTAACATACTAAATTAGATACCTAAATCAATTATTATTTTTTGCTTAAAATACCAAATTTGCAATGGTTTGGGTTGAGATATGAAAGGTTCAATATGAACAAATTAAGCTATAACTGGAATAAATTTAATTTTGTTAAAGCATGCAATGATGAAGTGCCATCTAAGGCTACAAGATTTGTATAAGCAGTTATCTGATGAAGAAAGCGAAGAATTAGCTAGAAGAGCTGTAATATCGCTAACTCAAGAAATGGAATTATTTTGCAATTTTTGTGGTCAACGATATGGCTTACACGACGATTCACTACAAGCACTTCGATGTTCACATATTTTTCATGAAAGGTTTCTGCAAATATTTTATATTTTATTGATTAAATACTATTTAATTAATTGATTAATAATTTAATTGTTGTATTAATTTGCGAAATTTACTGGTAATACACTTAAATTAAATATATGCAAAAAAAAAAGAATGACGAACAATTGTAAAATTAAGATCTATGCATGTCAACTTTTATTCAGTACTAAATGGATATATCAAATAGTCTTATTATTATTGCAAGTACAAATATCAACATGATTGCAAATACTATCCCATTAATTAATTAACTAAATTCATTTTAAAATAATCTTTAGTGGTGTATAATGGTCAGAATAGTGCATATGAGTTTATAAATGTATGTAGTATATTTTTAAAGCGAACTGATATATTGTAGACTAAGCAAATCGTAATACACTTGTCAGCACTATTATATATATTTTACTTTTATAGTTTTTTCATTATTTAAAGTAATTCAATTCCTTTTGCTTTTTCAAATCATAAAATTTCAACAAGCTTTTATTCTTATATTCAACTTTATATCTTGCAAATTATTAATATTTTTTAGGTGCTTACAAGTATATTTAAGTGAACATCCGAGTGCTAATTGCCCGAAATGTCAATGTCGCGCAATTCTGATGGATAATATATCAGTGAGTACACTATCAGATTCATCAACTGTTACTGACTTTCGATCACCTTTTACATTTGGTAAATTTTATTCATAAATTTCCCAAATTTTTTTTAACTAAAATTATTTACTGATATCTGTTAATGTTTATAAAATTAGCCATATGCATTGAATCCTATTTGATATTTAAAACGAATTATGATTTTTATATTTAGTGGATTTGAATTTTAAGATGAAAAAAGTAATGTATGAAATTTTTGCAATTTTTAAAAAATTATTTATATTGCAATGAATCGTATTAATTCTTGTCACGTTCATAAAAGCAAAATTGAGACAGAAGTAATTTTTAATTACTTCTTGAAATTTACAATAAGAACATTATAAAATCTATAGTAAACATAAAATTATATCGTTTAAAATTTTATTAGCTTTTTAGCAGAAATGCGAAAGTCATCAATGATATCAGAAAAAGAATTAATTACGAGTACAAGTATGATAGAACCGATATTATTAGACAGTCATTCAAATCCATCAAATTTGCAACAACGACCAAGTAAGTACTTAATTAAGTTATACTCTATGAACTGCTTCATTTGTTGTTACTAAGTATTTTGAATAAGTTTTGAATAATTGAACGTTTCATTGCTTATTAAATTTTTAAATTATTATTCAAAGAGAACTGATATTAAACTTTCTTTAATCATTTCATTTTCATACTATGTGAAAATAAATTTGTAGAATTAAAAAGTGCGCAAGTAAGCGTAGAATCATCATCATCTTATCCAACAAGAATCACTCCTGTGTTTGAATCTGTCCAATGTAAGCCTTTTTTTTTAAAAATAAAACTATCAAAAACGGAACACTTTTCTAAACTTCAAATCATGTATTATGAGTTAAAATTTTACAAAGTTGAGCTTGACTTTTACAGCTCTAATTTAAAATCATTGTAATATAAATATCACAAATTTTTATGCTACGATGTTATTATTATAAAATTGATATTTTCAGAAAACTTTCAATAAATTACAAAATTTTCAATTCTTTTTTATTGATACATTTTTTAATTAATAATATGCATAATAATCTCAATGGCATTCAATAATCTTTTATCATTTATATCTATTTAATGAAAAAAATAATGATGCATTAAGAATTTGTGATTAAAAATTATAATAATAATAATTAACACTGATTATTATAATCTTAGTGAATGCTACTTCAACTGGTTTTCAAAAACAAAAACGACCACCACCGCCACCTTTACGAAAATTGCCAAGTTATAAAATTGATGGTGAAATTCCAATTTCATCGGTGCTAAATTATTCTGAAGAAGAGCTTAGGGCTGGTCGACCATTGGTCTTGCCCCGTGGCTTGACAGTAACTGATGTTTAGCGAAATGTTTAGCGAATTCGTTTCATTCGAAAACTTTTCATTGTTAAAATTTATTCATTTGTTTGTAAACTTTTCATTCCGATGACAGTTTTCCATTCACAAATCATTCTTTGCTATTCAAAAAATTTTAATATTATTATTATTATTAGTATTAGTATTATTATTGTTATGTTATTATTAATATTAGTAGTATTGTTAGTATTAGTAATTAGTATTAGTATTTTTATATAAATGATAGTACTTTTATTATTTGGTCAACTAATTTTCTTCCTGGTAGTTTTCAATGCAAAGCATTAATATTTTCTATATTTTTAATGAATATATATATATATATATATATATATATATATATATATATATA